CCCAAAAAATAGTAAAAGTCAGTTTGGGAAGAACAAAGTGAAAAAGCTAATATTGAGAGTGGAATTAAATCAACATTTTCTTTCTTGATTAGCATTTTGAGGTAGACTAGCAAATGGATAGAGACTGCAGTGCTGCAAACAAAAGCAATGTAGGTTGTGTTTTATTGAATTTGAGGTGCAGTCCATTGCTATTTGTCTAGACACGGCTATCGCAGAGATGTCAAGCAGTATTACTGTGACTGATTGCTAGATCGTGGTGTAGATCAAGAGATAAAGGACAATATTCCAGTGCGTGTTATGCAGATGCAAGAATACTGTCAGCTGGGCTTACACTACAGATGAAAGGCAGGAAAGTAATATAAAACTGTAATCAATGTGATGACCTCCAAGTGAAAGAGTCAATTGTCGTAACTAAGTAAGTGTAGAATGCTGCTCTTGCCAGGAATACACAGTTTCTGTAAGGAAAATTTATGAAGAGGAGTAATGATCTAAAATAAACACTCAAGCCATCAGTGAAAGCCTTCATGATTTGCTAGGGGAAAGGGGCAAGTGGGGAAAAAAAAAAAGCAAACACTGGCTTGAAAACAAACCGGACCAAGAAATTCAGACACAATTGAGGTTTCTTGCTTAAGAAGTTGTCTTCAGCTGTAGTCCAGTACATGCACAACTGCTTAGCTCCTAAATACTATTTTTTATTGCAGGGCATTGATTGTAACTTACCACTTGCTTCACATGTTTAATTTGGGCAAGTTGGAACTTGGTGTTTTCAGTTGAGTTCTGCCATATCACATAGCCAGAGGCGACCCACGCTAGCAGGCGGACGGGCTCCATTTCTGGGGCCACGTTGCCGTGGCTGTCTGGCAAGCAAAATGAATAATATACGTTAAGCAAGATTCATGGAGTGGCAGCCATTAACAGAACCTTATCACCTCGTAGTAGGGTTTGGTGCTAAAGTCACTCGCGTTCCTTGCTGTGTCAGAGACCTTCCATGTAATCTTGGAATAGCAGCTGCATCACCGCTCTGTTTTCCTCCCACTTCTTTCTCTTAATATATATTCTATAAGGTCTTCAAGGCAGGGGTTGCTCTAAAGTAAGAGCAGACCCTAGTACTACAGTCAGGGTGTCTGATGTACTGTGCCAAGGACAGCCACAAACAGTCAGCAGGACGCTGGTAAAGGAAGAGGAAACAATAGCAAGTGGCTTTCAAGAAAATCACATGCAAATCACGTATCGGTTCTGGATTTCAGAAGCGACGAATAAATTTAGTAGTGTTGTGACTGACACACCACCCCGAATAAGAGAAAGTCATGCAGCATGTATTCAGAGTAGGGCTAATGGCCTGATCCCCTCCTTCCTGGCTCGGTTGGAAGGGGCTCCCATACGGATCATGGACCACCACCAGTTGAGGTCAGGTTTGCTTCTGACCACGGAGGACATTGGCTCAAAACTTCCTTCTCGCCCAGACCCCTTCTTTGTACCTGGTATGTCTTCTGCCACAAGCTCTTTTTCCAGGCTCTTGATTCGATTGTAGAACATGCTATCTGCTTCATCTGTGTTCTTAAGTTCTCCTTCAATTGTGAATTGCACATCTGGAGGAAGGTTCTTGTTGGGCAGATGATAAAGAACCTCAGCAGTGCAGTTAACAGTACTGTCCTGTTACAGAGTTAATTAGGTGTGTTAATATTTGATTAAACACAAGGATAATATTGGTAATTTGCACTTCTAAAATGTATTTTTTTCTTTATGTAGTTGCCGTTTTCTCTGAGTCTGGCCCATAGAGATTTGTGATTATTTAAGACAAGGTTAAATTCATAGTATACCTGTGACTATACTATAAGGGCAGTTTTCTTTCTGCAGTGATAGAAAGGGCAGTGTTTGTGGTGCAGAACGTTACTTGTGCTATTCAGCTGGAGTAACGGGTTCAAATAACTTCCATTTGAATTTGAATGACACTGAAACGTCCTAGTCATCTCTCAAGCATTTTCTTGTGTCATAGTGGTAGGCACCAGATATTCAGGGCTTTCATGGTGTAGAAAATGGGGGTTCCCTTTTGGTAAAGTTAAGCCTTCCCCAGCCCCGATTTGCAGTATAGAAAAATCTGAATCCATACCCAAGTGTTATTAAGTGGTGTGTCCACTGGCCTCAGCTAGGATCAGCAGCATTAAACCGCTGGCTTTTTATTACACATCAGCAGTGGCAACTTCTGCCCACAGAACGTATTAATTAAATAAATCTGAACTCACTTTGTCAAGGATGTCTTCTAACACCAATTCCAGATGGTACTTATGCCCAACATCATCGATGTCCTAAATAAGGAAAACATTAAGAACATTTATTTTGTAAAATGTTGAATTACTTTGCATTGTGGAAAAGATTCTCGTTATTGTGCAGTGCTGCAGCAGTGCCGTTCTCTGCAGGGCCCATGCAGAGCTAGGATATTCTTTTATTTCTTCCTGCCGTATTAAGATTGCTCATTTAATATTGCACCTGGTGTAGCATCTGATTAGTACCTCCTTGTCCATTCCTCGTCTTGTATACTACTTAATTGCCGTATTTGGGCTCCCCGTACGATTCTGTCTAATAATGTGCTGCTTGGTTAAATCCTGAGGTAGGAGGCTTAATTGGGTTCCTTATATTAAGTCTGTTTTGCACTTCAGTATGAACTGTATCACGTCATGTATTTTTTGAATGTCTACAATAGCGACTTAAGCAAGCAGGTTGGTTTTGTTGTAGCAGGTTTACCGGCAAGTCCAGAACAGGTCAGTGGTGAGGTCTGTCCTGTCCTGTCCAAGTCAGTGGTGAGGTCCGTCCTGGTAGTCACGAGAAGAGCATCCTCCTCCTCGGGGCGTTTGCTTGGGAGGCTCAGCAGGCACCGAGGCCGTGATTAAATACTGCGGGCACGGCGCAGGGCACGGCACAGGGCACGGTTCCCGCGGCGGCGGCGGCCAGCGGGGCAGGAAGACGCAGCGTTCCCGCGGTGCAGCGCGGGCGGCGGTGTTCCCAAACCACCCAAGGGCGACTGTCAGAAACGGGGCGCCTTCCTGCCTCCCTCGCACGACTGACGCCTGCGCGGGCAGGTGCTGCCGTCACACCTGGCCGCAGCAGCGCGGCGGGCGTCGGACGGGTGAGCGGAGCCGGTTGTCCGGCCGTGAGAAGCGCACCACGACAGCAAGGACCTTTCTGAACGGGAACGGACCTCTCTGTAGGACGTGCCGCTGCCCGTTTGCG